TTTCGTCTTTGATATAGTCAAGAGCTAATAATACCTATAGCTCTTCATATAGTCCCATGGACTTTGAAGACTAATATTTATGAGGTTATGAGGGTGGCTTATTTGATCAGCTCGGTGACGTCACGCGAACCGCAGCGCCTCTAGTGACGGGATGATCACAGAGCGTGTTTGTAAACATACATGGTCGCGTATGACGCGCCGAGCGCCCGCAAGGTTGGTGTGCGCATGCGCATTGTAGCTTTTATACCAGATGGAAGCGCTGCGTTGCATTACGTTGACAAATGTTTTGGCTGTTTCGGCAAAAAAACGCAACATCAAAGACGACATGTGCACACGCGTCCGTAGGCCCGCACACACGCACGCGCACACCCACACACGCCCACATGCACACACGCACACACGCACGCGCACACGCACACACGCATGCGCACACGCACACACGCACATATGCACGCATGCACGCACACACGCATGCACACACACGCACGCATGCACACACACACACGCACGCACGCACAGAGCGAGAGGAAGGGATGAAGAAAGTGATCATCAGTCGAAAAGAGACAAAGAATCCGAAATGGGGTGAAGTGAACGCAAGAGAAGAGAATGGAGAGAAAGAGGGAGAAGAAGATGGAAAGGGAGAAAGAGACAGAGAAAGAAGAGAGAGAGAGACGGACAGGCAGAGAAGGAGGAAGACAGACAGACAGATAGAGAGAGAGGCGGATATACAGAGCGAGAGAGAGAGAGAGAGAGAGAGAGAGAGAGAGAGAAAGAGAGAGAGAGAGGCGGATAGACAGAGAAAGAAAGCGAGAGAGAGAGAGAGAGAGAGAGAGAGAGAGAGAGAGAGAGAGAGAGAGAGAGAGAGAGAGAGACAGTGAGAGAGAGCGAGAGAGAGAGAGGGCTAGACACACGCACAGCGTTTATCAGCGCGCGCACAATGACACGACACACCACACACAGACAGACAGACAAGACGTTGCGTGCACGTCCAGCGCACGCGGCCCAGCACATTACGCCGATCACACAGCAGCTATAGATATCAACTACGCCGGGACCCCTTTTTGAACGCGTGCGAGATCAAGGCTGCACTATATCACGCGCGCAAAATTGAAATTATGGCCTGAACAGATGACGTAAATAACGTCAGCCGCCTGCGCCAGGGGCGCCTCAGGTCGGAAGAGTCGAAGAAGATCTCGAATCGTAATATAAAGAAGACTGAGTCCAACTATTAAAGGAAAACATGGAGGGTAGGGGGTGAGAGAATTTGAATAACGCTACCGCTCAGTCGTTGAAGAGTTGCATACGTAAACTAGATAGCCGAGGTGGCCAGAGGCGAGTGATGACAAAATGTAGATAACAGGCGTTTGCTATGGCTGGCTCGCTATCGGTTCGATTCCAGAGTCCATAATAGAAAAGTTATAATAGAAATAGAATAGTTTGACACTGCTATGCGGCTAAATGTAGCTTCCCTGTCATGCAACATAGGGTAAACAAGTGTGTGAAACCGTTTTCGTATTCAAATAACTTTTTTTGAATGACACAACGAATTTCAGGTAAACTGCTGCTGCATATTGACTAGGGAGAATCATGATAAAACAGAGGTAAAGTTTGTAATAGATTTATTCAAATAATTGATAGAAATAAATTCAAGTTGCGAAAACTGCCCAAAGCATGCTGTAAAACAGTGGCATACATCTTTTTCTAATTATTAAGACGCTTGGTTAGATACAAAATGCGAACGCGTGTCGTTGCCATTTAAATTCGAACTGGGTTCAGATGAATGCTCACCGCATTGTTTATTGGGCGATGACAGCGGCACCTGGGAAAACCAGACAACCGCGTCGCAACTGATATCTCCCAGCACATCTAAAATTAAAAACGTAGCGTGCGAGTTCCTGCACGTACATGTACGTGAAGTATGTATAACGTATATGTAATATGTATATCCATATACGTATATGTATATCGTATAGTATGTACGTATACGTACGTAATGTATGTATGCATGTATGTATGTATGTATATTCTGTCTTCACGCGCTAATGACATCTGGGAACAGGCACGCTCGCGCACTGCTAAAGAATTCACGCAACCCATTCTTGAAGCATCTTGAACAAATTATTGACTAACTTGATCGTTTTGCATGCCTGGCATTCCCGGCAGGGCCATGGTTACGGGCGCTTGCAGCGACGCGGTGAATTATTGTCCGAGTCATAAGCTTGCTGAGATAGAGTTCTACCTAACGAGCAGGGCACGCATGTATCACATGCGCACAAACCCTTAGAGCCGCTAAATTACACAAAGAACATTAACACACAGAGACAGCAGAGAGACATTAGCCAGTCAGAAATATTCGCGAAGATGGAACGTGACACTCGTCGTAGGCTACTCCTACATTTGCAGACGAATAAGTTTTTAAAAGACATGTAATATCATGGCATATATTACGAGCATGAACACAGTGTATCCACTACTAAAGTTTTGATGTTTATCTGCTTTC